TGGAACAACTCAGACCCTCCATGGAGAACTTGGGTGAAACATGGGGTGTTAAGGGTGGGGGACCTCTGGGATGGGGCAAGTGGGGACTGGAAAAGTGTTGAAAGCATGAAAAGATGTCTGCGCTATTGCCATTCAATAGATTCAACAATGGAGGGGCTTATTGAAAGCTTTCCCATCCAATGGTACACCACACTGAAAAAAGGCCCAACATTGGAAGTGGATGTATGGGTGTAGCTGCCTGGTCATGAATCACAAGCAGGCCATGTACACATAGCGGACCGAGCTCAAGTCCTGGTTGAAATATACGATGTCACAAGAACAGGGCAGCTACGAGGGAGTAGCCTTCCTTTTACCTGGAAAAGAAAATCGGAGGTCTATCGCATTAGGGTGGTAGAAGAAGAAAAAGGCGGAAGAGTGTATCACCCAATGACCCCAATTGAGAACCTTCCCTTTGATCCCCAGGAATGGAGGTGGTCATGGCGAGGCAGGGGACAGGGCGAGGGAAAGGCAATGCCTTTGGCTGCTCTTAAAACAAAGTCGGTCTACCGAATGCTCAGACCTAAGCGTGGGCTGCGAGACGTGGTTGAGGACAGATGGCAGCGCCACCTCAATATAGACAGAAGCACGCTCAAACCAATTCAATGGTTCAAGGAGCATCAAAAAAGGCCGGCAAAAATCTCCGCTCTCCAATGGCAAATCGCCCATCGATGCCTGCCAACAAACGATTGGCTGGTTGACCACACGCACCTTGAACAACAAGGAAGGGCGCTCCCATGGTGCCGGAGCTGCCGCCAAAATTTCCCTGAAAAAAGGCGCCCCGAGACAATTGTGCACATCTTCCTACAATGCCCGGCTGCCGTCTTATTATGGCGATGGTGGGAGAGGATCTGGCGACACATGGTTCCAGGGTTTCCATGGATTTGGGACTGGAGGGCAATCTTGCTGGGGCACTGCCCCCAGCTTCGGGACAATACCTTTGCAGCAAACATGTACTCCCTGGGTAGACGTACTGTTCTCTGGACCATATGGTGGAGGAGGTGTATCATGGAAGTGGAGGGGGCCAGGGTGGAAGAGGGGGAAGTCACAGAGCAGATACGACTGCTTTTCCAGCACGAAATTATGGCACAATGGCAGAATGTAAAGGACAACCTGGAGCAGGTAGACAGCAAGACGGACATCGATGAAATCATCTCCCGGTTTTGTGTGGACTGGCTGGGGGGGAGGAGGGAGGGGTGGGTCGAGAGGGTAAGCTGGACAGGTGACAGATTGGACCAGCCGCAGAAGGACGGACATGAAGAGGAACGAGAAAGGGGAAGGGATCGCGACTATCAGCCTCACTTCAAGGACTGGATAAAAGTGGATTCCACGGAACAGCTGAAACCCGCCCAGGACTTCCCTGATCCCTTTCCCCCTCACCCGCTGGCCCTGGAGGTATATGTGAGGGACTAGGGGGGGACTAGTGGCAGGCTTTCTTTGCATTTTTCCTATGGATGTGGCAGGCTCTCCCTGCGTCTTTTTCTGCGTTTTTTTTCTGACAGTCGTGACATTTCTTAGACATTCTCATTCTTAGACATACTCACTCTTAGACAGTCTTAGACACTCTCAGACATCCTCAGAAGGAAGTCCGATAGGGGGACCAGGAAGTGACCAGGAAGTGACCAGGGGCAGGGGGCCAACAGGGACTACTGGTGCCCCCCAGTAACCCTGTAGGGCCCACGCCCTGGGCTGTGTATACGAAAAGTACAGGATACTCAGTGAGGGGACGCTGGACCCGGTTTCCAGCATGTTTTCTCTGAGGGTGTCCATTCTGTAAATGGGACGTTGGACCCGTTTTCCAGCAGGTGATGCTCCCCACCAATAGATGGAGCCTCTCCCCATGTGGTAGTGGTTCCTGCTCTTACCAGCACCACTAATACTGGTGGGGGTGCCTTCAAAAAAAAAAAAAAAAATCGCTCTGACAACTGTCCACCAACTGTCCGAAAAATTGTACAGTGGACAGTAGTGGAGCCAGACCCTGAATGTACGGTGGGGGTTTCTAAAAACTGTCCAAGCCATTTTGCACATGTACGGTGGACAGTA